CACAGATGATATGCTGCATCATTTCATGTGAAGGCAATTTTGAATTCAGCGCAGGAATGGCAGATTCCGCCATGGAATTACTATACAGAGAGGTAATTACAGCATGTAAATACATGAAATAGGTACCGCTGAAAAAATGCACCGTGTCTTTATATTGGGTTGTATTTTTGGCTCTAATATAAACTGATACAGGTACTTTGATCTTTTTTTAATACTGGTCTCATTGACCCTATTGTTGTTAATTACTTCGTGTTACCTTTCAATCACTGCAACAACTCAAAATGCTCAAAGGATTAGTTTCCAAAACGTATAAAAAAAAAAAAAATTTCACTTACCTTTTGTGATATCCAGTCAGACAGATTTGTTTTCATTTGTTACCCATAGTTTCAGTGAAAGGTATCTCTCTAACCTTTACATTAATTGTGACACCAAAGAGTTTTTACATGCCTCTGCACCGACAATAGCCGTGGCTGTAGACGTTATGTTTTTGGGTTTTCCATCTGTCTGGCTCTCCGTCCCATTCTTGTGAACAGGATATTTCAAGAAAGCCTTGAAGGAATTTCTTCAAATTTGGCACAAATGTCAACTTGGACTTAATATGAACTGATTAGGTCAAGGTCACTGTGAACTTATCCGTCTCATTCTTGTGAATGCAATATCTCAAGAACACCTTGAGTGAATTTTGTCAAATTTGGCACAAACATCCACTTCAAGCCAGAAATGAACTGATTCGATTTTGGTGGCCATAGGTCAAAGGTTAAGGTGACCATAACCTTGCATCCATCTCAGTTCTCATGAATGTGATATCGCAAGAACACCTTCAGGAAATTTCTTTAACTATGGCACAAAGGTCCACTTGTACTCAAGGATGAACTGACTAGAATTTGGTGGTCAGAGGTCACTTTGACCTTACATCTGTCTTTTTCTCGTGAACGTCCTAATTATTAATAGTTAATTATTAATTAACTATTTATTAATTATTAATAGTAATAGTAGTAGTATTAATTATAATTATGACAAAATTTTACACAAATGTCTAATAGGATAAAATGATGAAGCGATGACATTATATATCCAAAAGGTCAAAGGTCAACATCACTGTGACATCATAATGTTCTGCATAAAACACTTTACTGGCCATTAATCAATACATGTCTCAGGAACAGAGGGGAAGACATTTGCTCAGATACCGAATTGATGACACTAATCTTAGGTGCCCGCCTTGAAACTGTGCTGATTGTATAGATCCTTTGTGCTGCTGGAAGGGAAGATGTGTGTGAAACATCCATGTTTTCACAGACATGAATGTAAACTGTAAGTGCAACTTGACGGGAGGCATATAGCTGCTAGGCAGTAATTGTAGTTTTTTAGTTATTATTTTTCCTTTTGTGGGTTATTTGCTCTCAACAATTGACAGATAAACACAAAATAAGTAGTTATTGTTTTATGACTAAAAGAACGTGTGTACACAGGGTCACAAGCACATTGAGACAAGTATTTGTGTCTCATTTGTAGTTTCCATTGAAAGGCTGTCTATCTGTTGTCACACTCCATTCATGTGAGTGAGTGTGAGAGGGCCAGCTGAGGCTCATAATTGAGGCCAATTGATTAGATGCCAGTGTTTTAACAAATTTTTTTCTCCAAGACGCAGCAGCGTGTGGGTAATAGGTTCCGCCGCAGTGCTCTTTGCATTGATTGATGGACAAAGGCCAGATAACTGTGTGTGTGTGTGTGTGTGTGTGTGTGTGTGTGTGTGTGTGTGTGTGTGTGTGCTTTTGTCTTTGGTGTAAGAATGTGACACGGTAAAAGAAGTGGTAAATTCCAAAAAAAGAAAGTCATGCAGCAACCTGTGTTTTTTACGTGTGTGTGTGTAGGGGTGTGTGTCGCAGTATGAGAGGTAAGACAGATTTGTCCATATGTCTTTCTGTGAGTTCATTAACACACCTATGCTTAAAAATTTGTGTCACAGCATCGAACACTGCCAAGGACAGTGTGTGTGTGTGTGTGTGTCTTATGCGTGCTCACTTACTGTAGAATAGGAACATAAATCTTGCTGAGTATCTGAATCAGTCAGCCATCCCCTCCAGTCCATTAAAGCTATAATCCCCCTAATGAGGTTTGTACTGGTACAGGCTGGAGCAGCACCACAGGCCACACACACACACACACACACACACACTGTTCTACATCCACACTAACATTCTTCTGTGGTGCTGATTTTCAGATACAGCCCTTGGCTGTATGGGTGAAATTCAGACTGGGTCTTCAAACACACACATGCTTTGTCAGATTTTGTTACTCCTGACTTGTTGATGAGGGGTGTGTTATGATTTTTATCAGCAATGTAATATATAACGTTCCTAGACTTTGTGATGAAGCATAACTTTTTTTTTTCATGTGTAAAGGCTTGGAAACAATGCTCCAACAAATAAGTTCAGTCCAAATTCAAAGGGTCTTTGGTCAGGGTGGGGTAAAATACCAATACAGCATAGTATCACGATATTTTTGTGTGGCAATATTGTATTGATAGGCAGTTGCCAGGTATCCATTTGTTTGCTAAATAAATTATTAATAATGCAAATACCAACAAAACTTTTAGAAGACTAAAATCAGTTGTTTTTCAGTCAATTAGATACATTTTACTGCAATAAAAAATAATTGAAGTGAGATGAACAGACTGAAAACTAATCGTGTCAGAAAAAGCAGACAAAGTTTTCCTTTCAGGGACAGAATTCACAGTTGAAAAAAGGTATTAAATATCATATCATGAGGTAATTCTCAACTGTTGTCTTTGGATTTAAATTGTTTGAATCTGCTTTTTAAGATTTCATAGATTTTAATATATTTTTCTGTGCTGAAAGATACTCAATAGCTCAGCTAATACCTGAAATGTCACTGGAAAACAAACGCCTGCAGCAACATGTTGAGTGCCAGGTGGCCAGCGTGCGCCGTTATTGGACAGCACATGGACACTCACCCTCTTGCGACTGGACTTTGAACTCATCCCACAGTAGTGGTACCTGAGGTACAGTAGTACTACAGTACTCCAACATTATGGTATCATGTGTACTGTGGTGTTTTAGTACCGCGGTCTACTGTTGGTTCCAGTATACCCTGCAACACTACTCTAGATAGCTCAGTATTACATTCTTTGCAAACCGCTTTTCTTCTATCACTCTCCAACACTTTGAAATATCAGCACACTGCCGACATTTTACTCCGTCCATCACTGCACGCTGTTTGATTGCGTCATCAAAACATGCCGCTATTATTCGGCCTTGCTTTTCACTTATTCCACCGAATACCGAATGTGTGGTTTTTTGCAATATTCGGTAGAATATATTTGGTTACCGAATATTCGCTGCATCCCTAGTTACAATGCCACAGACAGGCAATGTCCCTGTTGTAGCATCATAACCCCTTTACACATGCGTCAGGGTTGTGGTTGTCAGCCAGAGGCTGCCACAGATCTACTTTTTATCCAGTTTCAAGCCACATTTTTACAATACATGTTTTAGATTTCAGTCATTTTTCACAGTATGTTTTAACCTAATGTATGATTTCTGTTATTGGAAGTCTGGATCTTAAGTTTTCAGAGAAACAACATGAGCAAACGTTAGCGTCACCTCGCCTCCAACCCCTGCTGTGCTTGACAGTTTTAACGTAAAACTGCCTTATTCAGTGTCTTTACTGGTGTAAATCTTGGGGTCTGTTTGTTCTGGAGAGGAGAAGACCTCTGCAGATAATTCAGCACCCAGTAAAAAACTCCTAAATGTCTGGATCTTAAGTTATCAGAGAGAAAATGTCGGCATGTAGCAGCTGGGTTAGCATCCCCTCCACAACTAGCCACACAGTGTTGGGGAAACACTGATTTTTAAAGTAAAATTGCTTTTTTCAGTGTTTTGGGCAATATAAATCTTGGGGTGCATTTGTTTTGGAGAGGAAGAAGCCTCTGCAGATAATTCAGCTCCCGGTTAAAAGCTCCTGATTTGTCTGGATCTTGAATTATCAGAGAGAAAGGCTAGGCAATAGTTGGGCTAGCATCCCCCTTATTCCATGTATTTAGCAGATTTAATCACCTGGTTTGTTTTGGACAGGAGACTTCTGAGGATAATTCAGCTCCCGGTAAAAAAAACTCCTAAAAACTGAAGGAATTCTAACTGGGAGAAACTGATTGGAATGATGGCATTGCTCTGTCTTAAGACTGTCTTAAACCCTGAATGCAGCTTAGGGCCCTCTGTGTTTCTCTCCATGGTGCTGAAAAAATTCAAACCCAAGATCTTTTGCATTTAAACTCAGGCTCAAGCCACTGCACCATACAACAGATCACCATAGCAACCACTTGGAGATGTTCTAACAATCACACTGATCCCCTTGGGAACCATCTGCAGTGCTTTTGAGCACAGAGCTACCACCAAGCAGCAAACTGGTGACACCCAGCACAACTATCTGCACACAAAGAAACTATCTACCAACAACCTAGGAACCATGTCCACTTGTCTACTGTAGCAACACCTTAGCAACTCAATAAGCTGTCCCAACTATTTAGCAACACCCCAGGAATGAGTCAAAGCCATTTTTTTCCTTTCTTAAGGAAATGTGGAATTTTCTATTTTCTATTTTCTGTTGCAAGTATTGAAAATATTCAGGCAAAAAAAGGACAGGTTGGAATTGGGAGAGACAATAGGAGAGAGAGAGAGAGAGAGAGAGAGAGAGAGAGAGAGAGAGAGAGAGATGAAGGACTATGTATCCACTGATGCCAAAGAGTGCGCAGTGACACTGGGGAAGTAGTTGACCTGCAGGTTAATTAATTTCATTAGCTTGTGGCAGAGAAACATCATATATGTTTGTCCAGGACTGAACAGCTACAGAAAGTCCAACCTGTGAGGGAAGGAAAAAGCTATAAATGTGTTTTTGTTTTATTCAAATTTGATGTCTTTTAATGTTATTAGAAATTAATTAATATTTGTGTCTCTCTGTGCAACTGCTTCTTTGTGCAGGTTGGAGCTTCAGCATGGGTTCGGCCTACCAGTTCCACAGCTGGAGAGTGTTTGTGGTGGTGTGTGCACTGCCGTGTGTCTCTGCAGTGGTGGCTCTCACTTTTATGCCTGAGAGCCCCCGCTTTTTCCTGGAGGTAAGAGAGAGAGACGCAGTGTATCGTGATGCTGGCAGCACCATTATAACTCTTAATGACAATGATCATTTTTCTTATGGATATTAGAAAAATCAAAACACTTTGCTGCCATTTTTACCACTTTATATAAGAAAATAAATATAGCAGTTTTTAGAGCATGAATTGCATCTTTGCATCAATGCAGGTTTCCAAACTGTGAGGCGTGTCTCCATAGGGGGGCAGGGGCGAGTTGAAGGGGAGGTGTAAAAGGGAGGGACACGAGACAAAAATACTGCATGAAGTCGAAGGGACAGATGCATGCCGGCATTCTACAAACAAGGGGGAGTTAGTAATTGTAGTCTGGCTGCTGATTACAGCAACTCACCAACATGGTCAGCAGTTGGAGCTATGTTGCTAGTTTGGACACACAGCTCATAGAGGCAATTAAAGGGACAGTTCACCCCAAGATAAAAAAATACATATGTTTTCTCTTACCTGTAGTAACCTGTAGCGATTACTCAAGATAATCCACAGACCTTGTTGTCAGCAGTTTCACGTTGGAACTATTTTCTGTCTACCAAGCTGCACCCACCCACTGTATCACTGTGCAGAAGGAAGCGTGCCTCTACTGCTAGCTCACCTAGCACCACTGAGCTAGCTAATGTTACAGCTCAGCCAAGAAGGACGCCATTAATGTTTACGTCTGTCAGGAGCTACTCGTCGTAGGCTTAAAATAATAATTCCCAACTGGTCCAGCCACAGGGTCTGGATTTCTCCTGAGTCATTACTTCAAGGTCTACACAGTTTTACACATTCAGTGTCACACTTGTGTTTGTGTGTGTTATGTAGTTGTCCATTCGTCATTCCCTCTACATCAGTAAACGGCACTTCAAAATAAAAGCTATGTGCTGGAAATTCCCTATACTTCAAAAAGTGTGTTTTTTTACAAACTTGACACATTTGCAAGTCACTTGTGTCCATTCAGATTGGATCTGTGACCCACTTTTGAACCGCGACCCAACAGTTGGGAACCACTGGTTTAAAACATAGCCCAAAGCTTACTAACTGTGGCTATGTAGAAACTGTAGTTGGAAGTGGAGGGTTCTGCAGTCAGTGTCATTATGAGGAGCCCACAGTGTCAGACTTTGAAACCCCCTGCATTAATGTAATTTGCAACTCATTAGCACATGACTAGTGCAGTTACTATGGATATGTATCTGTCAGATTTGCCCAGATATGTACACTCTAAGAGAGTGGTTCCCAACTGGTGGATCCCGGTCTAAAATTGGGTTGCAGGTCCATTATGACTGGACCACAAGTGACTCGCAAATGTGTCAAGATTGTTAAAAGAGAAAAAAAACAAAAAAAAAAAAACATTATAATTTGAAGTACAGTGAATTTTCTGGCACAGAACATTTATGCTAAGGTGATGTTTCTTGCTGTAGAGTGAGTGAATAACAGACGGCTGAACAGATACAGTAAAGTAGCTCCTCGACATGGACAAATGCAAGTATGACACTGAGTGTATTTAACCGTGTGGACCTTGAACTAATGACTAAGGTGAAAGGACTAAGGAGAACATTTGAATTGCATAGAATTTATTACAGTAATAACATAAACTTTATGAATGTGAATTGGGTAAATGTTATGGGCTATAGTTACATAAAATGTCAGTCTATTCATCCTAGTATTATTTGATTTAATTAAATAGATAGTATTTTTTTGGATTATTTTCAAATTACTTGACTCAGTTGGATAAAAATTTGATATGTAATTGAAATACATAAACCTGAAAAAATAGATCAAATCATTTCTATAAGTGTAGAAGCAAACCTGAGTATTGATATAATGAGAGCATAAATTGAAGGGACTGTAAAGGTTCAGTTGACTAGCTCCAGCCACGGGAGGATGAACAGGTAGAGCCTGATGTGTGCATGCATGTAACATCACATAACTGTCCCTTAGATGGGTAAACACGACGAGGCCTGGATGGTGCTTAAACACATCCACGACACCAACATGCGTGCCCGCGGAGAGCCAGAGAGAGTCTTCACTGTGAGTACACAGCGGCCCTGCAACACTTGCATCCTTCTTCCTGCTGCTGCAGTGCCATCAGCAGGTGACAGATCAGTGTCTCCCCCTGCAGGTGAACAGGATAAAAATCCCCAAACAGCTGGACGAGCTGGTGGAGATGCAGAATGAGTCAGCCAACCCTGTACTCAAGGTCCTCTTCAAGATCAAGGCTGAGCTCAGAGGAGTATGATTCTGTTTATTTGTTTTACACAGATTTATTTTCTGGTTAAAATTTTAAATAAATAAAAATCTCTTCCTTTTTATAACAGATATGGTTGACTTTTATGAGATGCTTCAACTACCCAGTGAGAGACAACACTATAAAACTGGCTGCAGTCTGGTTTACTCTGTCTTTTGGGTAAGAGATTTTCTGCACAGCACTACTTCCTCCACACTTCTCCATGATATGACTGCATGCTTCCATCATGTTAAATGATGCTATGTATTGCTCTCAGTGATACTTAGCTGAGTCACCACTACTTTCCAGCTAAATAACAGTTTCAGTGAGGTACTTAGCACTGTGGCAGATGCTCTCTCACTTATAGCGTCTTGATGAATGTTGACAGCTTAGATTAGAAAGAGAGAACCTATTTGAGAGAAGGTGCCATTTGGCTTTTTTCTGCCGACAGCTGTAATGAATTGCAGTACGTACATGTCAGAAAGTTTTAGCCTTCAGGACAGTCTTTTAGCTAAAAGTGGTTCTGTTATACTCCAAGAAAAGTAATGTTTTATGTTGCTGGTTTAGATTTATGTCAACTTGTGTGTTTTTTTTTGTTTTTGTTTTTTGTTCTCAGTTTGTCTTTATTGTCTTAATTTTTCGGGTCCTGTTATTGTCTTTCTCTTGTCAGGTCTCTTTTTGTCCTGTCCTTTTTTTGTTGGCAGGTTTCACTGCCTCTTGTTCCGATACAGAAACAGATGCAAGATTCTTTGCTTATTAATTTGATCTCCCAGCTCAATAAAATACCAATAAACCAGCTGCACCTCTGACACCACCTTGCCCTTTACCCCTCTGGAGATGTACACCATAGCCAATTATGCCGCGACTCTGACCCATGTAAACCTTTGCTTATATGTGGACATACAAACACGTACTGACCTTTACACACACACACACACACACACACAATTAGCTGATGATGCAAAATGTAGTCACAAACTCATCAGTTGGATGTGCTGCAATAAAGTTGGAAGTCCTCCAACCCTCCAAGTAAGAGTCAGAGGACAAAAGGTGTCGTATGCTGTACAGACTGTAAAGTTGCTTGATGACTTGGCTTAGAACCTGGCAGAACCTCAGTCAACTTTCCCCTTTCCTGTTATACTCAGATAATGTTATATGCTAGGCTCGTCTATGTTGAAAAGAAAACCAAAGTTTGTAGACAGTTTAAAGATGTGGCTGGGAGACTGACAATCTTCACAGAGACATTACACTATATATTTAGCTAATGTTAGCAAAGCACTGGCTAAATAGCTAGCTAACCTATAGCTTCATCAAGAGGAGTAATCCTAATGTCAGATCACCAACGTCAGCCAGATTTACTTCCTCCTTATTTCTGTGGTAACATTGATAAGACCTGGAAAAGGATAAGTAGGTTGGTTGCAGACATATTTTTAAGATTCCATGATACTGTGTAGCCTACAGCCTACAGCAGCATGTTACAGATCCCATAGATCAGTTACAGAATGGTACAATTCATATTACTGTCGACATCCTGAAGGAATGTATCTTTAGCATGTCTACTGCATTAAGCAGAGGTGGAGGAAGTACTCATATTTTCCACTTGGGTAAAAGTTGTAATATCAATAAAGGAGCATGTGAAGTTTTCAACAAATCCTCCAATCCAGACAACCACATAGGTTGTTTGCAGGTTGTTTGGCATAATGTAATAAAACTTTGTTACAATAATTACATATTTTTTGGGAGCATCTGCACTTTACATGAGTTTTTATACTTATGTCACCACTACATTTCCTAATTAAAATGCCTCTGCAAGGCCAAATTAAGCGCATGAGCAAAAGACTTAATATACAGGTATCATGCTAAGTGGATGGCAACACCCACGTTAGAAGTGTTACAACTGTCTGTTACAACCACAATCCCCCATTCTTGTTTTGCAATTTGCAGGAGGTCTGCAGTGTTTGCTCCAGTGTGACTTTGATGCACTGCTCTAGTTTGGAGAATGTGAGACATCAGTTACCAGTCCTCTGTGAGATAATGTGCTGCTATAGTCACAGATGAATCCACTGATCCTAAAGTCCAGGCATCACAAGTAAATGCCTCCCTTCCTGCTGTACTCAAACATTCCTCAACTTTATGCTTCACTTCTCTGTAGAGCTTGGGTATGGCTGAAAGTATTGAATTTACTTGCTAAGTGCTTTATATACTGTTGGATAAGCAAAGCTATAACAATATATCATATTTTGTACAGTATATATGTGAAATATTTATCTATAAAGAAAGAACAGCAGTCAGATCATTTTAGAGGAGTGAAATGTGCAATATTTTCCTCTAANTGTGGTTAAAAGCATCTCATCCCGTTGTGGGATAGCAGTGCTATTCATCATTCCCACAAACAACACACCTCTGCGGGTTATATTAATCCTGCCTCCTTTATCTCCCCCACCACCAGGAAATTAAAAGCTTTATCTCTCTTTCCTTTTTCCTCTCTCTCTCTCACACACTCACATCTTTTCCTGCTCCTCCTGGTTATGATTCTCGCTTACACAAAGACCAGAGAGAGGACGCAACAATACACTGTTCTTTTCCATCCTCACTGGAGAGCGTTTATTAAGAGATTATATCAAGACCAATACCATGATACTGTGTAGCCTACAGCAGCATGTTACAGATCCCATAGATCAGTTACAGAATGGTACAATTCATATTACTGTCGACATCCTGAAGGAATGTATCTTTAGCATGTCTACTGCATTAAGCAGAGGTGGAGGAAGTACTCATATTTTCCACTTGGGTAAAAGTTGTAATATCAATAAAGGAGCATGTGAAGTTTTCAACAAATCCTCCAATCCAGACAACCACATAGGTTGTTTGCAGGTTGTTTGGCATAATGTAATAAAACTTTGTTACAATAATTACATATTTTTTGGGAGCATCTGCACTTTACATGAGTTTTTATACTTATGTCAACACTACATTTCCTAATTAAAATGCCTCTGCAAGGCCAAATTAAGCGCATGAGCAAAAGACTTAATATACAGGTATCATGCTAAGTGGATGGCAACACCCACGTTAGAAGTGTTACAACTGTCTGTTACAACCACAATCCCCCATTCTTGTTTTGCAATTTGCAGGAGGTCTGCAGTGTTTGCTCCAGTGTGACTTTGATGCACTGCTCTAGTTTGGAGAATGTGAGACATCAGTTACCAGTCCTCTGTGAGATAATGTGCTGCTATAGTCACAGATGAATCCACTGATCCTAAAGTCCAGGCATCACAAGTAAATGCCTCCCTTCCTGCTGTACTCAAACATTCCTCAACTTTATGCTTCACTTCTCTGTAGAGCTTGGGTATGGCTGAAAGTATTGAATTTACTTGCTAAGTGCTTTATATACTGTTGGATAAGCAAAGCTATAACAATATATCATATTTTGTACAGTATATATGTGAAATATTTATCTATAAAGAAAGAACAGCAGTCAGATCATTTTAGAGGAGTGAAATGTGCAATATTTTCCTCTAAAATGTAGTGGCGTAAAAATATGGAATAGCATACAATGTAAATACTCAAGTAATGTACAAGTATTTAAGTACTTCAGTACTTGTACTTAAAATGTGTCTCAAAATTGTATACTCCCGTTAGTAAACTTCAATGTAGTACACTATATACACTATGTACTTGTTGCGTGGTGCAATAATTTCAGCAGGATAGTGTTGTCTCAAATTGTACACTGCAGTTTTGCACTTACCGGAAGTGACAACGTTTTTTTTGTTTGTTTGTTTGTTTTTTGTTTTGTTTTTTTAACACATTAACATTTTGTTGAGAAGTTTGTGACCTAGCTTCCACTACATCACAAAGATGGCAACCACTGAGGGTGAGAAGTGTTCAGTATTCCACACACAACTTTTGGACTTTTTTTGAGTGCGCCAGTAATACACTGCATTTTCCTATACTATGCAGTGTGAACATACCAAGTGCACTTGTGCACTCAAAATATTAATTCAATTTAATATGCAGTTTAATACACACTGCCAGTTACATTCCCCCACTGTGCGTAAAGGGGATCTCTGTAGATTTTACACAATAATGCCAAAACACATCAAGTAGTGGCAAAGTAATATTAGCTCAGTCAGGACCACTTTAGTCAAAGAAAATTCTATTTCCATTTGCAGTATTGTATTTGGCGGTATGGCTCCTCTCTGAGGCCTCTCTGCCATTCCTAGGCCCACAGAGAAAGCCCCCATGTGTCTTCATGGAAAGCCGTAAGCATGAGTGAGCACACCTCTCTGCCCTTCCACGTGCATACGAGGAAAGCCTAATGCAGAGAGAGCAGCAGCAGAGACCCCTTGGGAACACAACAGAGCAGCACCAATGACAAAAAGAAATGACATTGATAAGCCAGACGCAGCATGAAAAGGAGGAGCTGGGGTGGAAGCGGCTTGCAGAGGAAGCTTGACATCGTGTCTTGCCTGAACTAACGCTATGCTGAAATTTATTTCTGTGGCGAGGAGGTGTGTTCATGTGTTCAGGCAGGAAGAAATTCTTTGTAACATTAGTCAACATGTCACAGGAGTCACAGGACTGTTTACTGATTGGCTGCTGGTATTCTGTGGCTGCAAGTTGCTGGCAAAATTTAATCTAACCCCAACTTTTAGTTTGGCCGCAGTTCACCGCAGACCGGAAAGGCTGCAGCTTGCTGAGCTTCGAGCAGCCATGGCACTTTTCCATATCTACTGCACGGCAGCTTGTTGCAGGCTTTGCCACTGTTTGGTGTGTTTTCAGCATACTGCCTGTTTACATGTAAATTATTAATTATTAATTAATTATAAATTTGCCAAGTGACCCTCTGTGCAAGTTTGTAAAAGAAAAGCATCAGGGGTTGTGGAGTTTGAAAGAAGTGAGACCTCTTTAGCCCGCTGCTCATCACTGCTACAAGCTAACAGCGCCAGGCTAAAACAGCCACTGCAATTTTACACACACTCAAATCTGTGACTGAACTGTCTACAATCAAGTTGCATTGTGGGTAATGTAGGAGCCAAGTTTTAACAAGGAGTAAAAATGCATGGGTAAAAAAACACAATGTTATTACTTCTGCTGCATCAATTTTGATCCTTTTTGTTTTAAACTACCCATTTACCATTTATTAAAAAAGAAGGGGAATAGTGCAATATCAGCACTTGTGCTGTCAGAAATATGTTTCCAATCTCTGTTTATTATTTTGATCCATATGTTAATGTCTTCCCCTGCCACCTCCATCTTGTCTCTCCTTCTCCTCCTCCCAGGTTCATCAGTATGAAGTTTAAGGCCGTCACATTCATCGACTCATCTTTTCTCAACTGCTATTTTGAAGATGTATCCTCCCTAGCATCTTACTTCAAAAACTGTACCTTTGTAGACTCCTTCTTTTTCAACACGGGTGAGTCTCCATCTGCAGAACTCACTCACATTCACAGCCTTCCGCCCCAGCACACAGTATTTCCTTCCACCCCTGAAAATTCTATTATTCTGTAGGTGGCTCACACATAAGTCTCACTCAGTCTCTCTGTCTCTGTCTGACAGTTCATTTTGGGTCTAACGTCCAAGCTTCTGGGGAAGAAAGAATGTTTTTGAGCATTTATGGCTTTTGCTTTATGCCACTAAATTACTGCTTAACCTCTGTGGCCCTGCACAGATTGCCTCTCTGAACTCAGTCGACTGTAGTTAACAAAGAAACTGAGCCAGGCTTGGCTGCAGAGCACTGAAAATGGCAATTTCTAACCATACAACCAGTCCTGAAGTGATGCTTTTTATTGGCTCTGATGTTTCAGTTGAACAGTAAGGCACATAAACAAGATTCTATGAATTTTTTTTCCAAATGTCAGCTTTTTCCTATTGTTTTCCACTGGAACTATCTGCCCAAGCATACAAAGCATCAAAATGTACTTTTAATATATACAGGATATGTTACAAAAATGCAAACCAATCATTTTGAAGCTGACAAAAACACAAGCAGGAAGAAAAGCAAAGGCACGGCAGACATTTAAAATGTTCTGAGAGGAAGCAGAGCTGAATCAGACCTTGTGGGAGCGCAGGGTGGAAAAATAGTTCCCTCCAGCACTCAGGAAAAGCGCTGAGCATGGAAACAGTAAGGGCATGTCAGGTTGCTGTTAATGCCCCATGGGAAATGAAGTCTCTTTGCCCCCAGCAATGTGTCTCTGGAGAGCAGAGGATAAAGGAAAAACGAGGAGAGACAGAGTGAGAGAGGGAGGGAGGAGTGCGTCATGAGAGCAGAGGTGAGAGCAGGGAATGTTTTCTCTTTGCTGCAGCTGCTGAAGATTATTAATAAACCTTTTCTGTTTAGGGAGAGAGCCCACAGACATTTGCACTGTACAGAGTTGAGAAGGGTAATTCTTATGAATCAAATTGAAAAATGCAAATATGCTAGTGCAAGGTTTTAATTAAGCAGTTATTAACCATTGAGACTCATTGAGATTAACGAAACAGTTTGGCATTTTTCAGAAATATGGTTATTTGCTTTCTTACAGAGCGTAAGATGGGACAATAGACACCTAGACGCTGGTATTTCTGACAAGGAATAATAACTAGGCTGCAGGTTTTCTGTGTGTCACTTAGTTTATGATGATGATGATGATGATGATTTTATTAAAGCTAGGGCAGGCAGAAATAAGGAAAAAAGAAAAAAAAAACATCAGAATTTGAAAATACACCCCCCTGCCTCAGCTCTTCCCTCCCTCCTCTCTCTTGTTTATCAGACCATAAATGAGACAAGAAATAGCTAGAAACCATACCACGCTCCCTCCGTCTTGCTCACCACTGCTGTAGACTGCCTCCCAGGAGGAAAGCTGGCAGCAGCAGGGAAGACAGACCTATGGTTGGCGACTGTAGCAGCCCAAATCTGACCAGCGCTGGGTGTCACAACAAGCTGGTGGCCAGTGCCCGGTCTCAGTTGTGTAACGGCAGCAACAGAAAGTTTGCTGATCCAGCAAGAAGTAGGGGCCGTACAGTACCCTGGAGCTAGACAGTGTGCTGGCTGGATTCAGATTGCTGCAACTGCTGGCTGGGGGTCAGTCCCTGGAGCTGTGGCTGCTCTCCTCCTGGCGAGGTGGTCTGAGGTGGCAGAGGATACACTTTGATTTTAGGCCGTAGCTATGTTAGCTACATAAATGTGAACTTAAAGCCTGGAGCTATGAACCTATGGTTAGCAGAGGGCAAAATTGTTAGCATTAGCAACATTTTCTCTCCATCTCTTAAACGCTTCACAGATATTGTTTTATTCCGTTTATTGTCAGACTTTCTTTTAGACTTCTTTTCGATCTTCCATTTTTGGGTTGCTTTGCAGTGTAGGCAGCTGTTGCTAGTGCTGGAATGGCAACTTTCTCTGCAGGATTCTCTGCCATTGAATCAGCCTTTCACTAAAGGGACATGCATATGCAATTGTAGAACAGCCAGTAGGAGCGCCCTCTTTTTTAAATGGCCAAGAGAAGATGCAGGAGTCTAGTTTTCTCTCAGTCCACTTGAATTACAATATGCTTAAAGATTACGATGGAACTTTTGCCCAGATATGCCAAAAATGAAACTGCCTAGCCCAGCTTTACACATGACTTTATTAAGGAATATGTATCATGTGAGCCCAATGCAAACTAAAATAACAGAGACAGAGCAGGAGCAACCTCAGGTAATATTATGGTTTAGTGACAAGTGAATCAAAATGACCAAATCCTTCTGACATCCAGTGAACCCAGGACTTTTATGTCCCCTTTCCCAGAGTCAGAGGCCCCAGGGCAATTGCGGCTGGTTATCCAGTATTGCATGTCAAAGACAACCCAAAAGGAGTCTAAAACCGAATTTAAAAAAAAAAAACAAATTCAGCATCACCAGAACAATAGATTTTGATATACCCCCTCAGCAGCAGCCAGAGCTTTTAGTTTCTGCAGCAATTTCAACTCACAGAAAGAGGCCAGTTTTTGCTCTTTGAAATCTAACTGTGGAAAGCAGACAATAGCAGATAAAAACATACCCTAATGAATTATTTAAACACAGTGTGAAAACTGAGCGCTTGCTTCTCACACTTGCAGATATCGACGACACCAAACTAACAAATTCCAGAGTGATCAACAGCTCCTTCCACCACAACAAGACAGGCTGTCAGATGACGTACGACGACGACTACAGTGCCTACTGGGTCTATTTTGTCAACTTCCTGGGAACGCTGGCTGTGCTGCCTGGAAACATTGTCTCTGCCCTCCTCATGGACAAAATAGGACGCCTCAGCATGTTAGGTGTGATATCACATTCTCTTTAAATAACAAAGCTTTCCTCTGGCTGAATGTCTTCTGATGCTGGCCTGTGTGTCTGCAGTGAGCTGTGGTGAGGTAAACAAGGCTGTTCTGTGCGTGAGATGTAAAAGATGTTTGGTGTTGTTTCCCGCAGGAGGCTCCATGGTGCTGTCAGGCATCAGCTGCTTCTTCCTTTGGTTTGGCACCAGTGAGTCCATGATGATCTTCATGCTCTGTCTCTACAATGGCCTCAGTATCTCTGCCTGGAACTCCCTTGATGTGGTCACCACTGAGCTGTACCCAACAGACAGGAGGTGGGGGCTGCACTCACTACATACACAGTGTGTATACGTAGCAAAATTACACCTCTCCCTTATCTGTAATAGCAATATATAGGTGATAAAAAGAGTGCATTGATTTTTTTTGTCATGTCATTTCAGTTCAATATCCTAAAATCTCCTTAAAACATATGACCTCAGGTCATTCACATCCATCATTTGACCTGCTGACACACTGATTTCACCTTTTGACAATGTAGTATTAATCATTATTTGTATGAATATTAAAATCCCAAAATATTATCATTGTATTCTTGAAATAATTTGGACTTCATTCTCAAAATCTCGTGTCTTTATTATGAGATGTAATCCTGAAAAAAACATCCCGTCATATGCAATCCAATGGATCCACTTAACATGCTTTATCAGTAAATAGAGACCTGGCCCCATGTTTCAAAGACATAAGGAGCAGCATTTCACTGTCTACTACTGTGTCCACACAATCTGGATTCACAGTCAATAGTTATTAAAGAAAAAATAAATAAAGCCAACTACTAAATAACAGCAAGGCAAAAGTTCACAAAATTCCCCCCAACTTCTGAAACTCTGAGAGCACTCTGAGAGCAAGTTGAAATAAAATAACACTGCTGTCTCAGGGATCAACATTAGGGCTCACACAGGGCAAGTTAACTGTGTTTTCAGGCATGTAGAATGCCTCATGCAGAATGAAATAAAAATGATGTCTCATGTAATGTTATCTAAAAAATAAATTGTGTACTGTCACGCTGAAGTGGAGCTTTTCCAGCTGAGCTGCATGTGCCAGTCTGTGTCACCACCAAAATGTTTAACATGACTGATGATGGCAACTGTGGAGGAGATATTGATGATGTACCTCTTGCATAAAAGACAAAAACAGAAGCAGCGTTGTAGGAGGCGGTGGTCGGTGAGGCCGTTAAATACATCGCGACTGGAGGACAGAGAATTCTTTTCTCTAGTACTGCCGATGAGAGAAATTGACAATGAGCGTCATTTCCAGTACTTTAGGATGGCTGCTGGGGCATTCGATAACTTGCTTCGCCGGGTGGCCCCCCACATCTAGCATGACAAGTCGCACAGCGCGCCTGTGAGTGAGGCAGAGCGACTAGCTGTCACCTTGCGCTTTCTTGCTACAGCAATCAGCCAGCAAGCTTTGGCAGGAAGTTTCAAGCCATTGTTATTTCTTCTTCGTGTCTCACTAGAGCTACGTATTGGGTAGTGACAGCAACACTGTTTCCGGTGGTACTGCTCAGTTTGGCCCGTATCCGTAAGCTTTATGGAAATGTGCAGAAATACGGACGAAATGAACGCAGAGCACGGACAGAAGGCTCTGTCCATATCCAGATCCGTATTTAACGTTGAGCATAAATGGGCCTTAATTATGACAACATTTTACACAAATGTCTAAAATTATGACATTTTATATTCAAAAGGTCAAAGGTCAACTTCACTGTGACATCACAGTGTTCTGTAAAAAACACCTCTGGCCATAACTTAACATCGTAACTCAGGAACAGAAGGGGCGACATTTGGTCAGATATTGAATTGGTGACTCTAATCTTGAGTGCCCACCTTGAAACTGTGCTGATACAACCATGAGGTGGATATTCTAGGTCAGCTACAGAAAGTGGCTACATTCAGGAAACATTCATTAAATACATATATTTACATATGACAGACACTCTTGGGTGAGAATAAAAATAAAGAGTATATATTTCCATGAGCAATTTGCCTTTTCTAGAAACAAACACTTGAGTATGTTTACTACAACAGGCTCTGACTCTTTTTTCTACTTGTCTCTTTTGTTTTCAGGGGTACAGGCTTTGGCTTCTGTAATGCCATGTGTAAGCTGGCAGCAGTGCTGGGCAACCTGATCTTTGGCTCACTGGTTGGCATCACCAAGGCAATCCCCATCCTGATGGCATCGTCTGTGTTGGTTGGCGGCGGCCTGGTGGGGCTCCGACTGCCAGACACACGTGCCAATGTCCTCATGTAAACCTCAACACAGAACAGCGTGTTGTTTACCAGGTGTTTACTCACTTCACTGAATAACCACTCACTTATGGACTATGATTTATTAGGATATCACTGAAACTAGCACAGCATTCATCCCACTTGTATTTATTATTTGATTAATAATTTGATTGTGTACTTACACAGTACAGGACAAGTTACTGTTATTCTGTTATGTATGAGTAAAGTACCTGGTAAATAACAAAGGATAATAAAATGCAGTTTAATTTAACAATGAACTGAAGATATAAAGACTTTAAGGGGTAACTTAGGTATTTTTCAACCTGGACCCTATTTTCTATGTTTTTGTGTCAAAGTGATTAATGGGAACAACAATGACTTTTTGCCACTGACAGGCTCAGATTGTGTCTGACAACCTTATGGCAAGGACAGCGCTGAAATCACCATCCCCAAAACCCACCAGACTTTATTTAAACAAACAGTAATTTTATCATGGTAAAACACACTTCGTTCATAGTCGACAGACATAAAATAAAACTCACATAAACCATCGTGATTTGTCTCTCCACTGCTAATCACCATCTCTGCTTTGGTTGAAATAAACCTTTAATTCAACCAACTGGATGTGAAAATATGCTGGCTACATATGCACTAAAATCAGTTTATTTAAATGGAGTCTGGTGGTTTGGTGATGGCAATTTCTGGGCTGTTTCTGGTTTAACAAAAAGGATCTTACTTTTTAACAAAAAGGTTGATCTCTGTAGAATAATTTCCATAATGTCAGACACTTAGAATAACAACCAGAGCCTGTCAGTGGTAAAAAAACAACAACAACAACAACAACAACAACAACAACAAAAAACGGCACTTTTAGTGGACAGAAATTAATGGTGCACAGATGCCCTGACTGGTTACATTGCAGCCTGTTTGCACTGCTTTCTGCAGCACTCTTGCTCAACACTGGAACAATTTCAAAAATTGAATATTCTCATTAGTCATTTCGACATAGTAACATTGGAAAATAGCGTCCAGGTTGAAAAATACTGAACCTAACCTTTAAGACTACAATCAAAGGTGAGGAATTTACCAAATGTTGGTGGCTGGTTGCCAAAGCCCTGGGCATTCCTGCAAGAACTGGGAGGCTACTGTTCAGAAACAAGTATGAATTATCAGTGGTGATAGAATTCTGTATATCAGCAGCTCATTAGCTGTTTCACACATGCAACCCACACATGCATGTGTCAATGCTGCAAAAGGCTTGGACCTCCCACAACCTTCCCCCTCCAAATCCTGCCCAGTCTCACTCAGATTAAAGGGATAGTGTGATATTTTTGGAAATACACTTATTCAGAGCTAAAAAGCCAAAACTAGCAGCTGCTTAGCTTAGCTTAGCTGAAAGACTAGAAGCAGGTGAAAAGAGCCTTGCCCTGTCGACAGGTACAGTAGCAAAGTCTGTCCACCAGCACCTTTAAAACTCACTAATTAACGTGTTGTATCTTGTTTCATCCTTTGCAAAAATGGAAGCATAGAAATAAAAAGCTGTGGTTTTAAAGGGGATTGTGAGCCAGACTGTTTCATGGTCAGGTGCAGAGCCAGGTTAGCTGTCTGGCTCTGCTTCCAGTCTTTATGCTAAGCTAAGCTAAGTGGCTGCTAGCAGTAGCGTTATGTTTAACATACAGATATGAGAGTGGTATCAATGTTCTCATCTTACTCTCTGCAAGGAAGTGTGTATAGTTCAACAAAATGTCAAGCTATTCCTTTAAGTATAAGTAATTTATGTGTTTATTACATGTTTATTTATATATTAAGTAATTTATTTGTGTAATTTAGTGCTCCACAAGTTCATGTTTGAAGGCCACATATCGAAGGTGCTTTTGACTTTTGTTACCTGTGATCAGTATTCCAATAATGGTTGACGACGTTCAAGCCTTTTGCCACAATTTGCAAGAATGACAAGGCCATAAGAAAAAAAATAAATAAAAAATCAATAAACTAGTTTAGTCAATACCGGCAACTTCAGCAGCTACATTTCTAAAGTGAAAAGAAGTTTACATTTTCTGCTTTTTACAGTAAGAGACTTTTGAGATTGGAAACCTTTTGTCTGAATGCTTTCTCTCTGCCTCTCTCGTGTCTGTGTTGTGTTTGTCTCGTTGCGCTGAGCTCGCCACGAAGGGTTCCGCTCTCCGTTTGCAGTCCGACCTTGTCAAGAAGAATTTATACTCTGCTGTTATTATCTGCTCTTCTCCTTGTTTTTTTCCCCTCTCTATCTGTCTCACCGTCTTTCCTCATAGTGTTTCTCATCCAGTCTTCTCCTCTTGCTCTGTTTATCTCCTCCTGCCTTGCTGCTGCTCCCTCCAAAAACTCAAAGGCCTTTCTCAAATGTTGTGCCTCTCTCCATTGAGCCCGTCTCTCCTTCCAAACCTTTGCTGGAAGCTTTGCTGCTCTCTCCTGCTTTTTTTGTGTGTCTCATTTCTACTGCAGTGTGTCTGTGTGTGTGTGTGTGTGTGTGTGTGTGTGTGTGTGTGTGTGTGTGAGTCCAGACAAACCCTAATAAGTTCCTGTGACCATCATATGTAGAAAGCCATGTCTTTTTTGTTTTGTTTTCTATACCAGGGAGCTGGGTGTTTTTGGAGGATTTGAACCACATGATTAAGTGAAATTAAAAGCCATGCTTAAAGGATCAGTTCACCCAAATTCCAAAAAAACATACTTAATAGCTATACAGATAATAAATGTGGACCTTATGAGGTCACCAAAGTCAGTAGAATTCATCGTCTGGGGACCCTGACTGTTCCATGAGTTGTTGTTGAGATATTTCAGTCTGAACTGAGACATAAAGTTTTCTCAAATGAACTCCAGACATTGCCCAGAGTTTGCATTTCACACATGTAACACACAACAGGAGATTGTGTCAGAAGTGTTCTCACCTACTGGAAAAACTCTGTATGGTTTAGGCGAAGGGTTTCACTGGGGTAGAGCATGCAAGAGAAAAGACATGACGCGGATTATACCGCCATCACGTAGCTGGTTCATCTGAAACATCGTCAACATGCCTACTCGCTCACTGTGAATTCTCCAGAAAATAACCTGCTTTATTCACACATTAAACGTCTGATTCAACTGATTTGGACATTTGCTTTCTTACATACAGCTCCTCAGAGTAATGTCTAGATAATTTCAGGTTTGCAGTGCTTGTGTAAAAGGAGCTTATCTTTCTCACATTAGTATGGTCATTTTGGGTAATCCACAGAGCACACTGTCCATCCAGAGTAACTGGTGTTGTTTCTGACACAAACTCTTAACACTGCATTACAAGGTGACTGGCACCAAATGTGTTAAAATTCTATGTCGGCAATAAGGAAACAATGCCAATGCAAAGTCAATGAGAATATTTTATTGAGGTGGACATACAAGTTAAGTAAGAGCACAAATGTCCATGTAGGATGAGTGGGAGTGGTGAATGGGTTCAACAAGTTTCAAGCAGGACACTGCTGTTCATGTCTTAGCTAAAAGTCAGTATAGTTAGGTGACTTTATGGACTTTACATAACTGTACAAAGTACTACATGGAGGTACTTTAAGGAACTATGCAAAGTATGCAAGTTTATGTGACTTAGGTCCCATACCTAGTTATTTTTCCCCAAACTACAATCTTTTCCTAAACTTAAAGATGCAGGATTGTCAGTTACTGTTTGCAGACACGTTCGCCAGCAAAAGCGAAAGTAATAGCCAAGCACATTCACCTGACACCTGGTCCTACCGAGCCCTAACCTCACCTGAGCGCTGTGGGGGTACCAACCCATAAACATCACAAACACAGAAAATAAGAGGAAAGTAAGAAGATCCATGCAGAAGGCAGAGACTCTGCAGATAAATACACCACCACCACACACTGAGAGGAGGTCATAAGTGATGATAAAGATAGATTACTTTTGTATGAGTCGATACATTGATTTTTTTTTTTTTAGAAAAATCTTGCATAGTACACCTTTAACCAAGTACTTTTTTGTTCTCTAAACTGCAACTGTTTCACAGCATTATCTCTTTCAAATAGCGTATTCGGTTTGACCCCCGACATTTCCTGACCAAGTAACGCGCTGTTAGAGGTTGTCACCATTTCAGGAATCTCTGTGAGACTCTTATATAAATATAAGATAATATGTCAACAATAAGTAAAGACAACACTACTGTAGGTTATCAGTCAGATAGGCCTGTGTGCACAGTGGCATCATGGGAAGATCCGTCTCCTGCAGACATCCTGTCTACCACTGGTGCTTCTCCTCCAGTTGTCGGCACCTCTCCTTCTCTTCCCTCTACCTCAGCAAACAGTCCTCTATCCTCCTCTACAGCAGCAGAGGGCTCTCTTACAGGCTCATGGTCTCCTCCAGCTGCCTGTTCATTCCTCTTCATCAGCACACAGCCAAGATCACAATGCTATGGCTAATTGAATTGTGATTTGTGGCATTAAAAAACGCAATATGATTTGTTGCTCTACAGTGTGCTGATCATCATAGCTATGTGCAGGAAACTTCTGTGACTTCCCTGGCTCATGTCTTGTTAGGCCCTGGGACTTTAGCTCCAGTATGATCGTACACCCTTCTCCATTGTAATGAGGTGGAGGCAGAAATCTTAGAGAAGGTTAACTGGTCAGATAAAATAATAATAATGATCTGTTTGGCTTGACACCACTTGAGATAAATAAGAAAATATGTGCTTTTGTGATTTGGGTGAACACTCCCTTTAAAACCTCAAATGAATGGAACTATTGCTGCTACAATGTTAAAATGCATTAGGTAATTTGTAAAAATAAAAACATGTTCTGAGTTTGTTTAATCACACAAAAAAAGTCAGATAAGTGAAAAGTACAGTACTGTTACATTCAGTTATATTGGAGTCAGTTATATGATGATGATATTTAGTGTCAACATAGAGTATGTGACGTTATGTTGCCATATTTCTTATTCTAGAAAGCAAGTTTGTGACCTAGGACATGCAGCTTTTTCCTCTTTTTTTGGACCGAAATGCAACTGTTTCAAGATTTGGTTTCCTGATGTTTAATGCTTTATCTGCATCTGTCTGCTCGTCCACATCGTCACCTCCACCTGTGCTGAACAAAGTCACTGTTTCCAAAAAGAAATCCTGCATGTTTGTTACTGAAGTGCTTCTGTTGTGTGTGCTTTTTCCATTTTGGTGTCTTTGCTGTTCCTCCGCGGGGGAGAACAGACATGTGATTCCCGGGTCAAAGGTGAATGTATCATTCTCGTGCATCGTCATGTTCGTTGTGGACAGGTGTTTATTATCAGTTGACTTCTGGGTCATTGTGAAAGGGCATGCTAGTGGTGAGATGACTGTATGTACTACAAAGTGTTATCCAGAAGGGGTGGTCAAATCTGCTCTCTGGGAAGGTTTCCAGTGAGATTCATTACTATCATAAAGTCACTGAAGCAGGAATGAAATTGAGTTGTGACTTTCAGATTTGAAAACCTCTGCTGACAAACACAATGTGGAGGTGTGTGTAAAAACTGTTACCTGTCCTTGATATGATTTATTTTGATAAGAAAAGGATCAAGTGGATGCAGTGTAAAGGTGGATTCCTCTGGTGTCTACATATTGAATAAAGAGTTTCATTTGAACAGCTGCAGGGCTTTTTTCATTCTGTTCAGTGTCCAAATATGGCTGCATCCACTCACACCAGCAGATGGCACCATTGATATGAAATCAACCATCTTTGTCAGGTTCTGTTGTTCATTTTAACCACAGAGGGCAGACTGGGGTCGACTGTTCTTTTCACTTGAATTAAAGTGAGGTCATGTAACCGTTACTGAGCTGTGGCTACAAGAATACCGGATAATGATGGCATTGCATAGCATACTTTTACCACCATAAGCAACAGGTAATACATAGCAAAAAAATCACAGAGTGTATTAAACTGAGCAAAAGTGCATTTTATTGCTCAAAATAAAACTTTTACTTTGTTAGAGGCAGATTGTTTTATTTCTTCAAAATGAAAGATAGGGTTAGAATCTTTGAGGGGTTTTCTAAACCCCCTGAAATCCTTCTTATATACACCAGTTTATTCACAAACATCAAATTTTTGTACATTGTCAGGGGTTTTACATTCAAAAAAATTAATCTCTAATTGAGGTTAAATCTATAAAGTTTCACATTTTAGAATATTGTTATTCATTAAAATGTACCCTTTGAGGCACACGACTTTGGGGCCATGTGTACTCAGATTTGGGACCCAGTCCCTTATGCGAAAGCCCCCAACTGCTGTCCACTGTAAAGCTGAACTCTGATTATCTCAGGGCAGGTGTCGCAGCCTGAAAAATAGGTGCTAGGATACACATGCATGTCGTGACACTATTGTTTTGGCGTTTTAGCGCACCTGCCGTGTGTCTAAACTAAAAACAATGAATTTAGGGATGCAAAAATGCGGCATGTGTACGGCCCCTAAAACACATACATTTAAAGTCATAACAAAAGCATACAAATGTTATTTTAAAAAATGCCAGTCATGTGTTCACAGTCACAGTCCCATTAAGCTGTCCTTTAAACTTGCAACCTTCAGACTATGAGGCAGCTTCTCTACCAGCTGAACTCTCAGGACTCAGGCAACCTGCGTCTCTCACAGAGAATAATTGTCCAGATATAACATATAGTCATTCATTCAGGCTGTGATAAAATTACCAGTGTGCTGATGGGAGTAAATAAGGAAGTGGTTTAAAGGCCAAAAGTCCACCTAAACCCTATATACAGGTTGGGCTAGTGGATAGGTCAGACAGCACAGAGCTTTACCTCAGGACTTTCTAGAGTCCGATGTTTGGGACCATGTCAAACCAAGTGAACTTTTAGTTAATTTAAGGTACATTGTCACCATGTTTTCCTAAACCTAACCTACATAGCTTTATGTTAAGTAGGCCAACGTAACTTTACGTTTATATTATGTATACATACCATTAGCCTTGGGGCACTAATTTGTATATTATACAAACCATTGTATGAGGATAGGTTTGACTGCAACATCCCTGGTTCAGCTCCAGTAGTAGACCTATGAAGCATGTAATTTCCTGTCTTTTTCTTTACAAAGGAAAAATCAAAGCCCTTTTAAAGTTTTGTTAGCCCTTAAAAAACCTTAAACCATGCAGTTAATTCATTAACAACCCTTAAGGAAAGGATACAGTTCATACACTTATCTATTTTTAGATCTTAGCCACAGACTTGATAATTGTTTTCAGACAGATAATGTCACATACAAATCATTTCAGGAACCTCCACCCACTGGCGGGGGGAGGTTAATGATTTATTCTCCTCTTGATGAGTTTAAAGGCTTAGTTAAACAAAGCACTTACTTCAATATATATCTAAAGCTAGGCTGCAAAATATCCAAGTAAAAATTAGACACTAAATAACCAAAATAGCTGAGACAAAGTGAAGTTTCATTTTAATCATCAATGCTCCATATGACAACAGAAATACAAAAAGCCTGCAAGACTTCATTTTAAAAATTCAGTTTATATATACTTTTTTTCCCATTTCTTACATACACACACATTAACATATTTAGGTCCTATCCCTCTTTGCAGCCTTGTTTACAGTTACAGGTATTAAACTGTGTCCTGAGTGATCCAAGTGGACAACACTTGAACCTACTGCAGAGGTGGTCTGGGACACATTTGACCACATATCCATGGATGGATTACTAAACGGGCCTACTAGGCACCACTGGGGTCAGGGGCCCAAAGTGTCAGGGCCCCCCCTGACACACGTACCGCCCAGGAGGACACTCAAAGACACTGATGCGCCTGTGGGACTATGTCATCAATGCAGAATGTGGTGGTTGGTTTGGTGATGGCGCACTAGCACTCTATAACTTGCCCATTTTACAACAAGTAGGATGAAGTTCAGATCCAGTTCTGTATGACCATCCATCATTTTGCCCTTTGGAACGAGACGTGATTAATTCTGCTGACAATATCTTCAGCTGTACCAACACAACTGCTAACGTGAGCATGCTAGTGGGCAGCTAGTGAGAGTGTGGACATAAACACTGTGAACGGGGCCTTTTGGCCTTCTAGCATAAGTGGCGTAGACAGTTATGTAATTTGAACACAAGTGGTCAGTAGGAGATGTTCAGTAAACACAGGAGTGACAGTGACCCATGTTATTACCATGTACATGTATAAACAGGCTCACATCACACTCACACACATGAAAACTGTATTGCTATACAAAAATATTTAATCTACTTGCAGAGAACACATTTAATGCAACAGGAAGTCTGTCCATTGCTTGTTTATCATAAATACAGTCGAGTTTGCTTTCTCTTTGGATTCCAGCCATAGAGAAAATCTTCATCTTCATATGTTGCTAGATCTCAATCAAAGACAGTTTTTGGTAACATGTAAGTCTCTGTTAGATGGATAGGCTCAGAGTCTTGCCTTTAACGGCCCTAGAGTAAAGCCTGGAGCCTGCAGACTTGGACATGATGACAAAGAGGAAGGGGTCCAGACAGGCATGGAGGCAACACAAACACACCGCCATTTTAAAGTGCACATACAAACTCTCAGTTCCATCTGCAAACAGTTGCACATAATGGACAAAATGCAGGACTCCAGCGGGAGTGAAACACACCATGAAGATGATTAACACCAGGGAGCTGGCCTTGATGTACATCGCCCAGTCATAGTGCGATCTGTTGAGCTCGGACACGATGCGGGCATAGCACACCATCGTGACCACAAGTGGCAACAGGAGGCCAAATATGGTTAGAAACAGGTTGTAGTAGAGCAGGAAGACATGGGAGTCATAGTACAAAGGCAAAACGTCATGGCAGGTGATGCGGCCCACCTCAGGGATCCAGTAGCTCTGCTGGACGACGAGCTCGGGTACCACAGCGGCACCAAACACCCCCCAAACGGCCACACTGACCCAGCCACTGAACGTCCTCTTGGGGAGACTTTTGTACATGAACGGGTGCACGACAGCCAGGTAATGCTTGATGCTGATGCAGGCCAGCGTCTGGGCTGAGCAGTAGAGGTTGCCATAGAAACAGGCCGTGACCATTCGACACGCAGCCTCCCCGAGCACCCAGTGGTTTCCATGGAAATGGTAGTGAGCCTTGAAGAAGAGGGAGAAGAGGAGGAAGAGGTCGGAGACGGTCAGGCTGCAGTACAGAATGGCAGAGGACACCTTTCTAATTTTAGTGGCCAGAGTGTACAAGATGGCGATGTTGGCTGGGATCCCGACAGTGACCGCCAACATATAAATAATTGGGATGACCCGTGTGCTCAGAGGGCCGCGGAGATAGCTGGCTGTGTTGTTGCTTAGAGACTGCAGTGCTGGAGGGGAGTGAGATGAAAGGGGAGCTTGTGTCCCATTTAGGACAGAAAACAAGTTGGTCTGAATGAATGGGTCTCCTAAAAAAGTTCTGGGCACGGCAACCGCAGGCTCAGAGTTGTTTCTCTTCACTTTGTTCCTTGTTTTTCCTGCAGCAAAAACAGAAACATACAAAAGTTAGTGATCACTTCATTCATAACATTCATCATACTCCAATTTATTTTATCAAAATACACTTCAAATGAAAGCCTATTAGGTTATTTCATTAGTGATTAATATGATGATTATTTCCTCCATTAATAACTTTGAATTTAAAATGCCAGAAAACAGTTTTCTAAAATCCGTAGTGACCCCTTCAGTTATGTCCGACCAACAGTCAACCACCTAAAGGTGTTCAGTCAAATATTGGCATTGTACGTTTTCTGCAAACCACGCATATCATCGCTGTCCGATGAAAAACACGTATCTCCACCTTTGACGATTTTGACTTTCTACGCGCTTTGATGGACACTTCTGACACCCAGTGGAGATACGTGTTGAATAGATGATGTAATACACATCTTTCCATTGGTCATTTGGATATGCAACGCTAATGGTTGCTATGGAATATTATGGACACTCATATTATATTTGCACATTATTATGTGGTGGATATACTGAAACAATATATTTCAACAGCGCTGTGGTTAATATGTCAGTAGCCTAGGTTTTGGCACAAAAAGCACTATTACCATTCTGCTACAGAGGGAAAAATGCTTTGGCTTGTTTTTGTGCCTTTAAACCAATCAAAATTATCCTGGGCGGCACAAAGCCCAGCATGCAGCAACAGTGCTTGCAATTTAGTGTCGGGGGGAACACACACAGTGACAGGGCTAACTGTTAGCATCACACCGCTAACATTACCTTATGGTTATTAACAGGTTTAATGACAGAGTCGAGCCGTTTCGGCATGGGTGTAAGTTTGGTGGAACCATTTAATGACTCAGTGTTGAATGTTAGCACTGGTGCTGTGTTAGCATGTGCTAACGGAGCAGACTCACCAGGAGGAGAGCAGTTACGTTGACAATGGCAACAGAAGGTTTGCTGATCCGTCCAGTTTGAGATTAGGCCCTTGGCACAAAAGGGATCGTATTCAGGTAGAGCCTGACTGGAGATTATTCAAAAGATGTGGTAAATGAACTCTGACTGACCATGTCAGAAAATAGATCAACAGGGCACGAGAGTCCTGCAAGACGAAGTCTGGGCTGTTCCGAGGTGCATTCGCAAGTTTTTTTATTTGTTCTATATCTTTAAAACTATTCGCCAAAAGAGCAAAGCAGACATACCTTATTGCCATTTTCAGTATGTAAGCTGTTAGCTCGGAGGTTGTAGCTCGGAGGGGATTTTGAAAACAGTAGCATGAGTAAAGCGGAACAGAAATGTACAAGACCAACATTTTCCTCTGGTGACTGGGGTGCATCCTAGTAATGAGCCATCAGATGTTGTAATAACTGATGTTCTAGTGAAACTGTGACAATCACCACTGTGCAGGTTGCAGCTTGTAGTTTTTGATTCATTTGATTCCTAATGGTGAAAGAAGTATTCAGACTTGAATATATCAGCAAAGTATACTTAAAAGTATAAAGTAAAATATTTCATTGTGTAGTAAAATGTTCCCTGTCAGTGTTTTTCTATTCTATCTGATGTTTTTGGATTAATATTATTGCTGCATTAATGTGCCTTGCTCAAGGGCACCTCAGCAGTGCCCAGGAGGTGAACTGGCACCTCTCCAGCCACCAGTCCACGCTCCACATTTGGTCCGGACAGGGATTTGAACAGACGACCCTCCGGTTCCCAACCCAAGTCCCTATGGACTGAGCTACTTTTAAAGAGTTTATTTAGCTTAAGAAGGAGGAGAATTTTCTCAACTCATAAAGGAACACTTTGTCCTTCAGTTTATCACAAACATTCAACATCAGAATTACCAAATTTGAAAATACATGGTTTTCATTGGACAGAAGGTGACAACTCGTGACAGAAGCTGTCAGACAAATAAAGTGGAGTAAATAATACAGTTCTTGTCTCTGAGGTGTAGTGAAGTAGAAGTATTAAGTTGTAGAAAATGGAAAGTACAAGAAGGCCTAATCTAAGTTTGTACTTAATACAGTACTTGACAAATCAACTTAACCAGAAATCACTTATTTTCTTCACTGGGAGCTATCAGCAAATAATATATAATTAACAAAACAGTCGACAGTATTACTGCAAGTATACAAGATAGGTGAATGTTTCACAATAAGCTCATTTTAACGTAAAACATAATAAAATGAATATTTACACAGAAGACTCATTGTTAAACTAAAGTTACATCAGCATGTCTTACCTTTCTTTTGGAGAGTTCCACTAACACAAAGAACAAAGAAGAATAACAGAAGAAGTTTCCCCATTTCTTTTCTTATTGTTGAACAGCAACACAAACGTAAACAGAAACAGAAAAACCGTGCGTCTCTCTGGTCCTATATGCTCAGTTCCATGTGTCACCTCCATCTGCTGCTGCTGCTGCTCTGTGGCTTCACTGAAGTCACAAACACCTCCCCAAACTTACCAAGTGAAAAAATTTTTAAAAAAAAAAACCACTTGACATCTTCTCTGCTTCAGCAGGAATGTGGGTTGTCTTTGGTTTCTGTTTTAAAATGCACAGGGTGAACTTCTGATGTAACACCCCCACACATGTTCTTTGTCACTCTGTTGCACTGCTCTCTGTTTTATGGAGTCAAAGTTGACACTAACGAACAACACCTTATAATTTCTTTGTATCTTTGCCACATCCTTTTGGCTGTATTCTTGTAGTGCCTGTGTAACAAAAACGTATAATAAAGTATATTTAATTTAAGTATACTTACCATGGGCACATGGGCAATATACTAAAAGTGTGCTATTTATGAGTGTACTAACGATGTACTTAATGCTAATTATATGTCATTAGTTCAACTTAAGACACACTAAAATACAACAAAGTGTACTTGAGTGTACTATTCTGAGACACCATTAAGATGTATTTAAATAGACTTAAGTACATCTTTTATTACTAATTCTGTACTTTCTAAAAAATATACTTTAACCCAACTTTGTTTATACAAGAATTATTTTTTTTAATTACAATTTAAGTACACTTAAAATCCATAACAAATAAAAAGAAATTGTACTTGAAAAATATTTTAACACCATTAATTATAAATAAATGTATTGTATATTTAGTACTGCTTTAAACGTTAACTAAAAATTGATTAAATGTACTTAAAGTAGAGAAAAATAAAAAAAATTTAAAGTACAGAATCTGTAATAAAAGATAGACTCAGGTATTTTTAATGGTGTCTCAAAATAGTGCAGTCAAGTGCACTTAAATGCATCTTGTATGTCTTTAGTGGCATTAATGATATATGATTATCATATTAAGTACATTGTTCATACACTAGAAGTAGCACGTTTTTAGTATGTTAATCATGTGGTCATGAAAGTATATTAAGTATTCTTAAATTAAATATACTTTGGTATACTTTTTTTTACTTGGGCACTACAAGAATACAGCCAAAAGGACATAGGAAAGAATTATCAGGAATCATCTTAGGGGTGTCTCAAAACAGTACAGTCAAGTACACTTCATTGTATTCTAGTTACTCTTTGGTAGCACTAATGACAATCATTAGTGTAATAAGTATGTTGTATTAAATCAAAAATGGCACACTTTGAATACATCAATCAGGTGCTCATAGAAGTATAGTTTAATCCCTTTTTTTAGATAACTGTTCATACACTTATATGAAACATTTTACAATGTCTATTGTGTAGGCCTATGTATCGTTTAGACACTTTTTTTAAGCACTCTGTCATCTTATATATATTAAAACTACAAAAGCAATTTCCTGTGTGAATTAGTTCTTTTTTAATTCACAGGCCTTCAGTTGAATATCACTGAATTAGTTAATTAATCACTTGACAGCTCGTTTGACAGAAAAATAACTGCCAACTATTTTGCTTTCTATTTATTTTGAATAAATGTAGGTTTTGGGGGTGTTTTATTATTATTATTTATTATTTCATATATTATTATTATTTTTATTTATTTATCTATTTTGATTTTTCTGAATTGGGTTTTACTACTTTAAATACATGTTCCTAATTATTCTTACTTTTTCTGAGGTAAAGCTTTCAGTGCAGGACTTTTACTTTAGAGTGTGGTTTTAGTACTTTTACACAAAGTACTAATTATGATTATGTGGCACATCAGGAAACTATGGGTTCCTTCTGTCGGATGCCTGGAGGGATGTGGAGTGAGGTCATAAGCGGAAAGAAGCAAGGAAATGGCTGTCTGCAGATGATAAGCTTGTTTGAAAACGAGGAGTTATGTTTAGCCTTCACTTCCCCTCTTTTTTGTGTTTCATTTAAGCATGTTTGGTTCATAAACCCTTTAGAAAGTTGTTTGCTTATGCCTCTCTTGTCAAAAACATAGATAGAAGATATTCCCACACCAGCAGCACTCATATCTTAGCTACAGATGTCTTCTATGGTAAGAGCAATTGAGGTTTTCTGCTATTTTTAATCTTGCATTTAGGCTTCCAGGAAACTTTATTTACTTGTATTGTGTTCAAGACACAGTATGAAACGTTATTTAAGTATTTTTATTTGCACATTTGCACCAACACCCAGCTGATCACAGATGTGACCTTTACCCTGTTTTGTTCTGATCTGTTTATCATCTTCGGGGAGAGATGTTTTCAGTACCAGCATCTGTTCGACCCCAGAGTCACCACAGACGTAGACAGATCTGTGATAGCCGCCTCCTGCCTGTGACGTCACTGCTGGCATGGAACTAAAAACATCACAGATGACTCAAACTGAAAGCACATAATGCAGCTGAGTTTACGTTCGCCACAAACACAAAAACATATTTACTGAAATGCAGCATAAAGTCAGAGAGGTCCTGTTTACTGTAAGATACAAAAATAGCCAAAGAGTCATCTGCTTCCCCTCACAAGTAACTTTCCTCCAATTGCAAACAGTATATTTGTGAATAAATAGATCCATCTTTTTAAGGTTTTTAATGGAACATTGCTTTATGAACATGTACATTAATGAAAGCAATATTCAGTAACCGTGAAATACATAAGACCTTCAAGACCTTACTTAAGTGAAAGTACACATTATCAGGTTTTCTCCTACTGCTCAGAAAAACACTTCACTAAAGTTATTGAAAAAGTTGTCTACCAGCTACATGGAAACTTGGCAACAGAACAACTGCTTTGATACCTGTCCATCAGGCTTTTGGCCCCATCACGGTGAGAAGGGTCTGGCTGCAGACCTCTAGCCTCAGACCCCACCTCTAGCACAGGGACCCATCTCCATCACCATTGTTTCATTTGAGTGTCCCAGGTACAGTATACCTAAACTTCTTTATTGATGGTGAATCAGTAAAAGCAAAGCACAGGCTATGTGGCATATAACTGTGAGGGGTCAATTGAGATTAGTGATGTTTATTATTGGGTCAGTTCCCCCTTTTTGACATGGGTTATAAGGGACCTCATAAACTATTCTTCATACTGTAAACTGTTCCAGTGTGTGTTCTTCATGTGCTCATGTAATTTTCTAGGCTGCAGTATTATTGGCGCAGTTTATGTCGACATGTTATGACAGAGGTGTCCAAACTTCTTTGAATGGGGGCCAGATAAAACTACGTGAAAATACCTGGGGGCCAACTGATTCTCACATCAAATGGGTTTAAAAAAAAATGCAACCATTTTTATCTTTTAATGAACTATTACTACTTGATGCCTGTCTACAAACTGTATGATAGTCCTATTATTGTGAGGTGAAGGGTAAAATTGCAAAGTGATCTTGCTCAATTAACCATTATTGTGTAAAAGGCCACATTTGGTATATTTTGAAAGTCAAGCCGAGGGCCCGTTAAAATTGGCCCCCGGGCCAGACTTTGGACATACCTGTGTTAAAATGCAGATGCACTGCATGAATTAGAGTTCAGAGTAGGAACTGGTTTAAATTTGTTAAATGCAACAATAAAGTGATAGCAAGTGAAACATCCCTCCTGCCTCCGCCTGTGTTTCTGGCTGTAACATAACCTTCTCTGCTCTGTAGCCTGTAATACAGCTGCATCTAAACATATGTTACATTTATTTATTTACTGTAAGCATGACAAGAAATAAGTTAGTAGCCTAAACGTGCAGTGGCATAAAAACACTTTTTATTGATAAGGAATTGCAATAAACGTGATTTCCACTATGGGTCACCTGATTTTACACTATGGGTCCCAGCACTGACGGTGGGGCCTGAGGCTGGAGGTCTGCGGTTGGACGCAATCACAGCACTAAGACTGCACTCATAAAGGTAATAAATGACATTCACCTGAACACCGACTCAGGCAAAGCTTCTGTTTTTGTGCTGTTGGATTTATGTGCAGCTTTTGAGTCAGTGGACCACACCATTTTGTTACAAAGACAAGACAACTGGGTTGGACTCTCTACAACAGGAAGTACATTGTCTCAACTGGTAACAATGAGTCGGAGCAGAGGGCTGTGACATGTAGGGTCCCACAGGGGTCCATTCTGGGACCCCTTTTGTTTAATCTCTATATGCTTCCATCAGGCAAAATCACACACAATAATAAAGTGGCCTACTGTAATTGTACAGATGACACACAAATATACATATTGCTTTCACCGGGTGATTACTGACCTCCAGAATGTCTGTGTCACTCAAAAGAGATAAGACAGACATAATTGTCTTTGGTCCACAGAAAGAAAGACAGAGTGCCAGCTTTCACCTTGCCGCCCTCTCTCTCATAACTAAGAGTCATGCAATAAACCTCTGTGTTATCCCGGACTTAGATTTAAATTTCCACAGCCACATCAAATCCATAAGGTCATCTGCCTACTACCATCTAAAAAACATTGCTAAAGTCAGAGGAATAATGTCAAAGCAAGACCTTGAAAGGCTCACCCACACCTTTATATCCAGTAGGGTAGATTACTGCAGTGGTCTGTTTGTAGGCCTTTCAAAACAAGCTGTTAGGCAACTTCAGCTTATTCAGAATGCTGCTGCTACGTTCCTGACAAAAACTAGGAAATATGACCACATTGCTCCAGTTCTAATATCCTTACACTGGTTACCTGTCACTCAGAGAGTTGATTTCAAAATCTCACTGTGTCTAAATCACTCTGTGCAATGTTATTTTTAATCTCAGATTTCAGTCATTTTAAATCATCTTTTTATCTTTGCACCTCTTGTCTGCACTTTTGCTATTTTTAATGTTGATTTTTTCATTTTACCTTTTATATCTATTTTTTCTTTGCTCTTTTATTGTAATCTGTATCCTTTAATATGTTTTATATTTTATTGCTCTGTAAAGCACTTTGAATTGCCCTAGTGTATGAAATGTGCTATACAAACAAATAATATTTTCCTCCTACAGTTTATCAGAAACATTCAAATCTAAAATGACCAATTCTGGAGATACATGGTTTTCACTGGACAGGAAGGTCATCTGAAAAAGCAACTAAACCCGTAAGACAAGTGAAGTGGAGTAAAAAGTACAATATTTGTCTCT